TGAGAGTATCTCGCCCGCACGGCAGAGCCTGGCAAGCTACCTGTGATGTATTCGATATGCCAAACACAGTAACAAGTCTCACGATGGAGACGTTACTGGGCCCACTCAAGCAAATCGATGAACAACGGGAGGACAGTGACAGTGACCACAGACCAGTGAGAGCATCCAGTGCTTATTCTTCTGACTTACTTCATTAACATAAGACCCTCCATTCCATCCGTATTGCAGCAAATTGCATGACTTTATCATTCCTCGGGACTGAGAGTATTCCATTGTGTGTATATACTACAGCTTTTTTGTACATTCTGCTGTCGTTGAACACCTGGGTTGTTTCCAAAACCTGACTGTTGTACTATGTGCCACAGCGAATAGAGGTGTGGATATAAAATGGGTGATTTTGCATCTTATGGGCAGATTCCAGAGGGATCACTGAGTCATATAGTAGTTCTGTTGTTAGCATGATCCCTCCAGTATTTCCAGATGTGGCTCAACTCCCAACCTTTGAAAAAAAATATAAAGATATCTTAGACTTAATTAATTATTGGGGGACCACCCCCTGCAGTGCTCAGGCTTTTCTCTTGATTCTGTGCTCAGGGTCTCTCCTGGTCATGTAGTCTGTGTGGAGATTGAATCAGGGTTGGCAGCATGCAAGGCAAGTGCCTTAATTTCTGTACCATTTTGTGTTAAAAGTGGGTGCCTTTAAAATCACTTAAAATATTAAAAGTAGTTTTCTTGATCATTTTATAAAACAATTTTCCTTGATCTTACTTTGCCAACCCAGTTTGATCCTTGACACTCCATGTGGTCCCCTGAGAGCCACCAGGAGTGACTGCAGTGTTCAGAGCCAGGAAAAGTAAGCTCTGAGCACTGCTGGGTGCATGCTGGATATTAACCCTACGTTTTTCAGGCTTCACCAGTGAATTGCCAGATTCACTTTTTCTCCTCCCAGAGAAGCTTTCAGTGCTCTTGAGAGCACCCCTAAACCCCTGAGTTTATCTTTAACCTTTCCTTTGTGCTTTATCTCTCATTGTCACGGTTTCCCAAGTCAGTCATGGTTACTTATAAGCCAAAACTTAGGTGACTCTGGACTTTGTATTTGAAGCGAATTACTTGCTTTTCTATTTGCCCTATAGCCTTTTTTATATTTTACTAGAGAGCAATACTCTTTTCTTAAACACAGAAAGACTGTTAATTCTATGTTCCTAACATTTGGGACTTGATTGACTCTAAAATATATCTCCTCCTGGGCATGCATCATAATTAGTTGACTCAGGCTTCTGTTGCTGTAGTTCTTAACATCCCAAAAAGTAGGTTCTGCCATGGACCTGGGATGGACCCAGAGCGAGTGGCGAAGCTACCAGCACTGAAATGGGGCAGTCTAGAAAGCATAAATGCATGGTCTTGATGCAAGCTGTTATGACTTAAGAGACAGGAACTGATTTGAGGACTTAGTCTGGGACTTATGGTAAAAGCCTTGCTTGCCTCAGAGCCCAGAGAACTACGTTTTGCAACCTATATCTCTTACTGTGTTTATCCAAATAACTGCAAGTATTACTAAGAAATAAACTTAGGGGCTGGAGTGATAGCACAGCGAGTAGGGCATTTGCCTTGCATGTGGCCGACCTGGGTTCAATCCCCGGTATCCCATATGGTGCCCCAAGCACCGCCAGGAGTAATTCCTGAGTGCAGAGCCAGGAATAACCCCTGAGCATCACTAGGTGTGACCCAAAAAAGAAATAAAAAGAAAATAAACTTAATTTTTTTAATATGTACAGCTAAAGGGAAAAAGAAAAGCAATATAGAGGTCCCTGGGAAACAGAGTGTCTCCTGAGTTTATCCCCCCAAGAGAATTGCCTCCCCTGAAACGCTTTCACTCTGTAAATGATCAATCATACCTATGTGCAGTCCTATACCTTGGCCCCCCTCAGATGTTCTATAAGCATTCTAACAGCTCTGCTCTACACGGGCCATTTTTGCCATCTATCTCTGAGTCCCCCATCTCTCGTTGTCTCCCTGCTGGAGAGGCCAGGGAGGAAGTTCTTGGCCACCAAACACATGCGCCATGCACCCCCACATGCACCCCCACACTTTGTGAACTCACAGGTTGTGGCCCCAAAGCAAAAACAAATTAAAGTCTTAATTTTCCTGTTACACTGGGGGCATTTGCGCTTAAGTTGAAAATCTTGGTATTTAAAATGTTGGTGCCTTTTAGAGACATGCAAAGCAGTGACCCCAATTACTGACTGACTGGTACTGGTATTACTGTATCAGTTAGTAATCATTGTATAAATCACTAGCTTCGCTTAAGACTATCCTTGACAAAGCCAAATAATAACAATAACAACAACTTTTGGAAGTCTTGGGGGCCATACCCAATGGTACTCAAGACTTCCTCTGTGCTCAGGGATCACTCCTTGTGGTGCTCTGAGGATCATGTGCAGTGCCAGGGATTGAATCTACAACAGTTGTGTGCAAATTAAGCCCTTTCCTGCTGCACTCTCTCTCCAACACAATAACACTTTATTGAATATTAACAACAAGAAAAAGTTAGTTCTCCGGACCTGGGCTCCAGGCCTGCCTCTCCACGGAGATGGGAGAGAGCAGAAGACTGTGAAGTGAGAGTGTAATGCCATGCTCCTGAGTTTCTCGGGAGGACTGAGGGAGAATGCTGGGGACTGCAGAGACAGTACAGGGGCTAAGGGATTTGCCTTGCTGCAGCCACAGAATAATGGTTCAAATCCCCAGCACCACATATGGTCCCCCAAGCACCACACAGAGCCAGATGTAGCACCTGAACACTGCGGTGGTGACACCTCCGTCCCCCAAAGAAAGAAAATGCTGGGGTTAGCCATGTGCATGCATAGGACCCAAGTTCAAGTCTTAGCACCCCATGACACCCTTAGCACTGTGGGGCGTAGTCCCAGTGGCCCCTACCCCCCCAGAGCCGCAATACGAGCTGTCTCACCAGGCCGAGCTTTAAACTGCCTGTCCCCACTGACTAAGCATTGCTAGGAGTGGCCTCCAGTTCCCTGAGCTCTACTTGGGAGAACCCTCAAACTAAAATGCTCTGAGTTGTCATATGGTTCAAACTCATTTAATTTCTGCTCTAATTAACAGCTAACATTTTTTGTGGGATGCAGTCACACCTGGCAGTGCTCAGGGGCTGTTTCTCTCTCTCTCTCTTTTTTTTTTTTTGCTTTTTGGGTCACACCCAGCAATGCACAGGGGTTACTCCTGGCTCTGCACTCAGGAGTTACTCCTGGCGGTGCTCAGGGGACCATATGGGATGCTGGGAATTGAACCCGGGTCGGCTGCATGCAAGGCAAACGCCCTACCCACTGTGCTATCTCTCCAGCCCCAGGGGGCTGTTTCTCACTCGTAAATAGGGGGTCACTCCCAGCAATGCTTAGTGATGCTTAGGGGATCATGCAATGCCAAGGAGGGATCCTGGGTCTTCCTCATGTGAAGCATCGAAACCCAGGAGAGATGACTGGAGGGGGGGCATCTATGCACACTCACTGGATTCCAGCTGAGGAAGTAAACAGCATCCTTGACCGTGACAACAGCTGACAGACCAGCCTGTCGCTCAGCTCCAGGACTCACTGTGGCACAGCACCGGGGATGCAACCTGGCTTGGCTGCATGCAAGGAAAGTGTCTTAGCCACTGGACTATCACTCCAGCCTCTAGTTTGTGCTTTTATTCCTTTTACAAATTATCATCTTGAGGGGCTGGAGTGATAGCACAGCAGGTAGGGCGTTTGCCTTGCACGCGGCCGACCCAGGTTCGATTCCCAGCATCCCATATGGTCCCCTGAGCACCGCCAGGGATAATTCCTGAGTGCAGAGCCAGGAGTGACCCTTGTGCATTGCCAGGTGTGACCCCCCCAAAAAAAATTATCATCTTGAGCTCTCCCAGCAGTCCCTAGGAGCCCAGGGGCCACTGACTGGGTATCTAGTGGTCCCTTTGAGGTATGTTCCTAGCCCTGAGAGTCAGTGTATTTTATTATTGCGGGCAGGTGTGTGTGTGTGTGTGTGTGTGTGTGTGTGTGTGTGTGTGTGTGGTGGAGTGTGGCGGTAGAGTTGGGTCATACCCCTAGTGCTTAGGCCTTACTCCTGACTCTGTTCTCAGGGGTCACTCCTAGTGGTGCTCAGGTGACCATACATGTTGCAGGGAATTCTGTACACAGGGATCTGCAGAAGTTGGCCATGCCAGGGCTCCACCTTCCCCCTGAGCCTGGCTCCATCCAGCCTTCCTGCGCTAGGCATCCAAAGCAGCCTTGCTCATTAAACAGAGGGCCCTTCGTGTACTGATCTATGTCAGGAGCCTGGCCTGTGAAAGTCAGGCACCCAAGCAGCTTATCTGGAGAGCATGGATCTTGGTGATCTGCCACAGGAAGGTGGTAATACAGCTCTTCTTTGAAAGTGCTCCGAGGTGTTTAGGAGTTGGAAGGGGTGCAGTTGACGTGCTGGTGTTTGGTGTTGAGGCTTGGGTACCCTTCCAGACTCAGGGCAACGCCAAGGTCACGTTCCCCTGCGCACTCTGACTCCAGCCGGGCCAGGGAGCAATGCTGAGCCTCCCAGCAGAGCTCTGCCGGCCTGTTTTCAGTGACTTTCTGAGGCCTGGCCAGACGCCAGTGGCTTTGTGTCTCCGACAATTCAGTCCGTTCCTTTGCCTGTTTTGTTTGCTCTCCAGGGCAGTGGGATCGGGTCCAGCAGGCGGGCGCCACCCCTGTGGGGAGGACCAAGAACAGCTGACTGCCGATTTGCTCACGTGACTGCTCGGGGTCACTCCCTGCCCCGCCATCCCCCTGTCCGGGTGGGCACTTCGGAGGGCTCCTACGGGGAGGGCCACCAGGGAGGCCACCAGGGGGCAGTAGGACGCGGCCCGCAGAGAGTTGCTCGGATAATCAGTTGCTCTCATCGCCGGTCTGCCTGCCAGCAGGCGGGTCAGGTGCGGGGCCAGCTGAGAGGTTGCACTCAGCCCTTCTTGGCAGGGGGACCCTGAATCCCACGGCCCCCTCCGCTCCACCTCCCCAAAGGCGGCTCTGGGCCTGGCCTGGCCCTTCCTTCCTCTGTTTCTCGGCCTTCCCTCCCCCTCCCCTGCAAGCCCTTTCCCCTTGCTCTCTGCTGACCCAGCAGCCTGCAGCAGCGGGGCGTGGTGGGATTAATCAGTGACAGGAAGCCACCTCTGGCAGAGCGGGAGTGGACAGAGTGGTCAGGACTGGCCCAAGAGTCGTCTGCCTGCAGCTGCTCACCCCCTACTCCTGTCATGGGCCACTTCGGGGCCCTCCTCTTCCTGCTGGGGGCACTGGGGGCCCTCGCAGAGGTCTGTGGTGAGTAACCAGATCGTCCCTGGGTCAACTTCCTGCTAGGTCTTGAGGAGGCCGGACCCTGCGGTCCAAGTCCCTCAGTGGAGCTGGACCAGCTGAGGCCTTTTGGGGGAGGGGATCAGGTGGTGGCTGCAATTTATCTGGCCCTCTGTGCCCCCACAGAAATTTGAGCTCGGCTGGATGTTAGCATTGAGTCCAATTAGTTAAGCTTGTTTGGTTTTGTTTGCGTTGGGGGAACCTCTTCCTGCTTTGGTGCTCAGGGATCACTCCGGGCAGTGCTCAGGGGACCACGAGGTACCGGGTCTAGAACCCGGGCCCCTGGGGGTGCAGAGCCTGCCCTCCAGCTCCCTGCGACCTCTCACCCAAGCACATGGTACTGAGACTCTGTTTCTCCTTATCAGACACAACGGCCTCCATTAAATCATTGATTCACTGCTTCACTTCTTCATTCTGTCTAGGTGCTGGGTTAGGGGTGTGAGAGAACAAAACCAGATCTAACCCGCCCTCCTGATGACTCTGGGGCCGGCCTGGGAAGTCACGAATTGTGTTGGGGGGCTGTGGTGTGTGCCAGTGGAAGCCGCCCCGCCGCAGAGAACAGGGAGGCAGGGGTGCAGGGATCCGGGGGTGAGCTCAGGGAGGTTGTCCGAGGTACACCAGGAACACGGGAAGGGAAGGGGGAGGTGAGTAGGAGACATTTGCCTCCGACTCCACACTGAGGGCCGGGCTGCTCGATTTCTAGGTCAAGGGCTTGAGCCTCCGGGGCCCTCCCTTTGTGAGTCTGAGCAGTTGAGCAGGAGGGAAGGAGCAGAAAGAGAATCTCTGCCCTCTGCAACCTTGGCTGCTCTTCCCGAACTCCACCGGGCAAATGTGCTCAGCCCAGGGGTTCCCGGGAGCCTGGAGAAACCAGGTGGGCGATTCTTATCCCAGTGACCGGTGAATTGGGCAGAGCCCAGTGCGGCTCTCCCCGCTGCCAAGGCTTCCCAGGAAGTCTTGGGCCTGCGGTTCCCCCAGCAGTCAGACCCCTGGGTCCTGACTGCCTGTGCAGATAGCCCCCCACCCCCACGCCCCAGGCAGTGCTGAGGCCACAGCTCCCTTCCCTCACTGGATGTGATCCTTCCCATACTAACCATACGCCTGACCCCACAAGAACCCCCTTCTCAGGGGGCCTAGAGAGCCCCGGACTGGGTTTGGGGGTACAATCCACTGCTGGTCTCATTTTCTGTCAAATGGGCCAGACAACTTCCCTGTGTCCCTCCTGTGTCCCTCCTGGGTGTGTGGGTCCAGCCCACTGCAGCTGCTGCCCTGAGGCTGGGAGGGCTTCAAGGATCACTTTACTACTTATCACTTGAGGACACAGGAATGATGAGGACACAGCCCGCATCGCCTCAAGCTGCATGAACCCCGGGGACCACTAGCAGCTGACGGGGACCACTAGCAGCTGACGTTGTGCTGTGGCTTAATTAACACAAATTTCAGTGCCCGGTTTCAGCATGTTCATGCAGGTGCATTAAGGGGATTGTGCGCTCCCAGGCCATAGACTGTCCGTGTCCATCTGACCTTTGCAGGCAGAGCAGGTCAGCTGTGTGCAGAGACCTTTGGGGAGGGAGGGAATTTCTCCAGAGCCACTTTTATGACATGCATGAATCTTCCTGAACCCAGGTTTCATACTGAATTGTGCTCTTCAGCCTCTTTCTGGCTCCAGTGCCTCTTCTTATCACTCCTAAGCCTGGGGCTGACTCATGAGGCTGGAGGTCAGAGGCCCTTGGGAAGAGCGGAGAACCAGGCGGAGAGATCTAGAGACTGACTCAAACCAATGGAGGTAGACAGAGCAAAGCAATCCCCCCACCCCACCCCCCTACTGTTTCCCTCTCCTAGTAACAGATTTGCTGATTTGGGGAGACAGGCATATGAAGATGAGACCCAGACAAGGAAAGATGGGAGGCACGTGAGAGTAACACCACGTTGTCCGGAAGCAGAGCCTTCTGTCTGCAGGTCCTTGACTCTGTCCCCTGGGAGGGCAACCATCTAGCCTACAGGGACGTCACCCAGACCAGGTAGCTTTGGAGTGCTAGGGAAGGCAGTAAGTGGAGGAAAAGCCCAAATGCTTTCAAGGCAGTTCTGCAGCCCAGATCTCTTCCCCAGGGAGGAAGATGGCTGCACGCAGGTGCTGAGAAATATCCCCGATATTTAATATGTAGCACTGTCCTCCCGTTGTTCATCAATTTGCTTGAGCAGGCACCAGTAACGTCTCCATTGTGAGACTTGTTGTTACTGTTTTTGGCATATCGAATATGCCACAGGGAGCTTGCCAGGCTCTGCTGTGTAGACAGGATACTCTTGGTAGCTTGCCGGGCTCTCCGAGAGGGATGGAGGAATCGAACCCGGGTCGGCTGCGTGCAAGGCAAATGCCCTACCCGCTGTACTATCGTTCTAGATATTTAATATAATGCACTTTACTGCACTGTCCTCCCGTTGTTCATTGATTTGCTCGAGTGGGCCCAGTAACGTCTCCATCGTGAGACTTGTTGTTACTGTGTTTGGCATATTGAGTACGTCACGGGTAGCTTGCCAGGCTTTGCTGTGCAGGCGAGATACTCTCAGTAGCTAGCCGGGCTCTCCAAGAGGGGCGGAGGAATCGAACCTGGCTCGACTGGGCCAGCTGCGTGCAATGCAAACGCCCTACCACTGTGTTATCGCTCCAGCCCATTTAATATAATAATATTATATTATATCATATTATATTATGGGATAATTAATTTAATACAATTATCCCATATTTAATATAATAATATCCATACTACTTCCACCCTGGCATTTTGGTCATACTGTTTCAGGTAAATCCCACTGCTCCCCACCCCAGAAAGATGGTTGCAGGGGCTGGAGTGATAGTACAGTGGGGTGGGTGTTTGTCTTGCACATGGCCAACATGGGTTCAGTCTTTGGCATCTCAGGTATGATTCCTGAGTGCAGAGCTGCCTGGCTCCCCACAGTGGCTGTTTGTCTGCTGGTGGGTTTGTCCCACTCCGTTCATATTCCAGCTCAGCAGTGCTTGATTGGACCGGAAGCCACCAGGGTTCTACCCAACTAGTGACTTGGGCGGGACGGGATTGGCAAGGCCTGTGCTTGACCACTTGAAGCACATCCCTAACATTGTATATGCTGCCCATTTCTCTTGATGGGTCCAAGTTTTTGTTCATGGCAGGAACGTGTGTTCAGGAAACAGGGATTTTGCAGGCAGGCCAGGAGTTGGCCCTTCAGCCTCCTGGAAGATGCACGTGACTCTGAATTTCTATTTCCTCTTTTGGGCAAAGTAATGATGGGTGAATCCACATTACAGGCTCAGGTCACACGTGGTGTCTGGGGTGCAGCAGAAAGGCAGATGTCCAGTCTCTGCTGCACCTGGCCTCAGTTTCCTGCCCTTGGCAATTCACCACCTCTCCCGGGGCCAGTCCAACAACTCTTTCAGGGAGCAGCACCTCTCAGCCCCAACTCGCTTCCTTGCATAGAGCCCAGCTTTCATACTAATAGGGTGTGTGCTGGGTGGAGGTGACATTGGGGCCTTTATTCTCTGGTAAAGTTGGAGCTTTTCCTGTTTGTGTGGTTTCACATAGCCTGTTCTCTTTCCTAAGAAATACCAGAGGTGGACAGAAAGCTGGTGGAGAGACTGGGCCAGCGTGTCTTGCCCTGGGTGGACCTGCAGTCTTCGGAGCACCTGAACCCCAGTCTCTACGTGGGCCTGCGCCTTTCCAGCCTCCAAGCTGGGTTCCAGGAGGAAGCCTACCTGCACAGCCTCAAGCTGCATTACCAGCAGAGCCTCCTGGGGTCTGGCGCAATCCTTTCTTCTTTTTCCCTGTATCTTCTCAACATCCCATGAGACAGGAGAGCTATATTCTAGTCGGGCATTGTCATTGCTTTGTTGGGAGATCTTGGGCAAGACTCCTCTAGGTCTTATTTTATAGAAGGGTTTGATTTGACTAGAGCAGAGATACTTGTAGTGGGCCTTTGCACCCACCTGTACTGGAGGCAGGCATCGCTAATCCATGACCACACTCTCCACACTGAGCCCAGAAGGAACTTCTGTCCTGCTCCCCTCCCATGCCTGAGCAGACATCACTAGTCTATGACCATACTCTCCACGCTGACATCAGTAGCACCTGGTTCTTTCAGCACTCCCTTTCTAGGGGATTTTACAGAGATGCCTTTTCTGAGGTCCAGCAGGGATCTGGATGAGAGAATTAGGAACAATCACAAACCCTCACCTGAAGGGGACTCTCACTTGGAAAGAGGGCACAGGACTAGGAGAAAGAAAGGGGACAAGATGTGAGTGAAATGCGGTCAAAGGGTGAGGTAGGACCAGAGAGACAGTCTAATATACTGACATGAAACACAAGTGGCTTGTACTTGAATGAGCCTTAAAACAAACTGCAGCTTCAATATCAATGTATGAAGGCACTTGACTTGCTTGTTGCTGAGCCTTGTTTAACTGCCAACACTGACACCACGTGGTGTAGCCCCTGAACACTACAGAAGCAACCCCCTAAGCATTGCTGGTCATCACCTAACAACCCCCCCCCCAATAACACACAAGTGGTGAGGCAGGCCCCAGTCATTTGGATGCAAGAGCCCTCAGAATTTAGCTTGAGGTTTAATTTTCGCTTTTAATGAACTGTGTGGTGTGCGGATCACATTCATACATAGCTCACAGCTGCTTTTGCTGGTCTGAGCAAAGTTCTCAACTGTTAGGGTCTCCTCCTGCTGTGTGATGGAGGTTGGGGTGGGTAGGGGGAGCTCAAGCCAGGCTTGCCTCATGTCACTTTCTCAGGGAACCTCTGTCACTGATCTGTCCCTAGGTGTGCCCTGGATGATGAGGGCAGCAACTGCCAGGCCAAGCCCTCCATGGGCCACCTGGCTCTCTACCTGCTCGCTCTCAGGGCCAACTGCGAGTTTGTTGGGGGCCGCAAGGGCGACAGACTGGTCTCACAGTTGAAGCGGTACCTGGAAGATGAGAAGCAGACCATTGGTAAGGGACAGGGAGTGCCAGGTTGGGAGAGAGGGTTGGGGGGAGCAGCTAGCATCAGGTAACATCTTCTGGAGAAGAATCTAGATCAAAATGGATATTTCTTCCCAGGTCTCTTTCTCACCCTCTTTCTCACCCTTTCCACCTAGAGCTCAGGTCTACCCCACTTTCGCCCCCCTCCCCTCCCTTGATCAAGGCTTTCCTGCATCCCACATGCACATTTCCAGCAAGTCTTGCTGTACAGATGCCAGATGGACCCGGCTCCTCACTTCTGGGACACAGTGTCCTTGCTGCTTACTGCTGAGCCTTTCTTTGCTAGTTTTCCTGCTTCCCAAAATGACCCCAGCGTACCCCTGACACAGCAGTAGTTTAAATATACACATGATCATGTCATCTGCTGACACGCCACAGGGGCTGCTCACCGCGGTGCTCAAAACCCTCTGCCTGGCCTCTCTGCTCCTTTCAGTTCCCCGGGCTTGGCTCAGCCACGCCCCGGTCCCTCTGTGGACCCCAGCTACTCTCAACAACCAGGGTTCTCATATCTGTCTATATGCAAACATACGCGTATATAAGTTCTGACTCCTGCTCCGCCTTTAGCTCCCCCTGCCCACCTACCACCCTCCCAGCATTTCTTCTGTAAAAAATCCTGCCCTGACTCTCCATCTCCTCAAAGAGTCGCTCTATGAACCCATGGCCCTCCATGTCGAGTCCAGTTCTCAACCTGCCCTCACTGGGCAGGGCTGCGGGGTGGCGGGGGGCCTGTCCCCGAATTCCCACCACCAGTCCAGCCCATGAAGCTGAGCAGCAAGTAGGGGTCAGTGGAAAGGAGGGAGGGAGAGACCCTTCAAATGTGGTCAGTGGGGCTCCATGAGCTGGCAGGGCTCATGGTTAGGAGGGGCAGAGAGGTAACCCCGCAGCCCTTCAACCCTCTTCTCCTTCTAGGGCACAGTCACAAAGGCCACCCCCACACCAGCTACTACCAGTACGGCCTGGGCATCCTGGCCCTGTGCGTGCACCGGAAGCAGGTCCACGACAGCGTGGTGGGCAAACTCCTGTACGCTGTGGAGCATGACCACCCTGTGCACCAGGGTCACCTCTCTGTGGGTGAGTGGGCCTGTTCCTGCCCGTGTCCCTCTCCCCTGCCCGCTTACCTCTCCGGGGGAGCCCCCACTCCCCTTCCCTGGGCCATAGGAGCGGCTGGGAGTCAAGTTGGATGGAGACTGGGATGCCAGCCCTCGCTCCAGCCCACATTCATCCACCTCGGGCACCTTGAGCAAGCCAACCGGCGCTCCAGTGGCCCTGTGAAAGAAACTTCTAGTAGCATTTTGATAGGGGGTGCCTTGTAGAAAAAGGCTTGACAATGAGCCCATGTGGAGAAGCCTCTGGGGATATGGCTGTCACCCAATTCTCATCACCACTGGGACGTCTGTATCGAGTATTTGGAGATCTGGGTTTTTTTTTTGCTTTTTGGGTCACACCCAGCAATGCTCAGGGGTTACTCCTGGCTCTGCACTCAGGAATTACTCCTGGAAGTGCTTGGGGGACCATCTGGGATGCTGGGAATTGAACTCTGGTCCGCCGCGTGCAAGGCAGACGCCCTGCCCACTGTGCTATCGCTCCAGCACCTGGATCTGTTTTCTGTCTGTGTGAACTTGGCCTCGTGGCTCCAGGGCCTCTCCGGGCCAGTGCTCTGTGAGTGGAGCATGAGTCGCACAGGGCTGGGGCAGAGGCAGGGGGATAGAGGAGGAAAGAAGGCAGCCAGGTGGGGAGCTTGTCCGGCCTCAGAGCACAGAAACACTGAGTGCGGGCGTGTTTAGTCATCAAGGAGCTGGCAGAGCTGTGGAGTTGGGATGCAAGAAAGCCCCGAGGCAGGCTGGGGATGTGGCTCCCTGGCAGAGCACTCACCCACAGAGCCCCTCAGGAACCACCAGGAATGACCCCTGAGCACTAAAATGTGAGTAGCCCCTGAGCCCAACCTGGTGTGCCTCCCACCAAAAACAGAATCCTCCAAATGAAGAAGCACCCAGGGATGTTGGACCTACAGACCCACGGTCCAGAGTCTGATCCCCAGCACTTCCGGGGGTTGACCATGGTGGTCGCTGAGCACCGCCCCCTCTACCCTCACCACCCCCCAAGAATAATAGGCCCAGATAGCGACCACCAGGATCTCTTTAATCTGTCTCAGAGAAGTGGCAGAGGCTTTGGACCTTGGAATGCTTCCCTGATGATTCTAAAATGTAGGGAGGTTTGAGAAGATGCCAGCCTCTCCCATTTCCCCCTCTGTCCTCTGTCCTCTGTCCTAGTTGTCTGGGGATCAATCCATTTCCAGGGCCACCAAGTCTCCTCTGTCCAAACCAAGAAAGTCCTGGACAAGCTGGGATGAGTTGATTCCCTGGGGGACTTTTTTTTTTCTTTTTGAGTCACACCCGGCAATGCACAGGGGTTACTCCTGTCTCTACACTCAGGAGTTATCCCTGGCAGTGCTCAGGGGACCATATGGGATGCTGCGTATCGAACCCGGGTTGGCTGCGTGCAAAGCAAACGTCCTATCCGCTGTGCTATTGCTCCAGCCCCTGAGGGGGACTTTTGTAAAATGCTCATTGGGGGGCTAGAGGGATAGCACAGTAGGTAAGGCATTTGCCTTGCATGTGGCCAGCCTGGGTTTGATTCCCAGCATCCCATATCGTCCCCCGAGCACTGCCAGGAGTAATTCCTGAGTGCATGAGCCAGGAATAACCCCTATGCAATGCCGGGTGTGACCCAAAAAGCCAAAAAAAAAAAAAGATGCTCATTGGACCACATCAGCCCCTTCTCCCAGCCCTCCTGTGACTGCCCATTGCCCCCCCAGGGCCTGCTGCACTGAGCCCCCTTGGCTGCCCAGCCCATCCTGTATCTGTGCCCTGCAGATTCAGCCGCCATGGCGGGCTTGGCCTTCACTTGCCTGGAGCGCGCCGATCTCAACCCTAACCTGAGTACCCGGATGGCCTTGGCTGTCAAGACAGCACGAGAGAAGATCCTGAAGACCCAGACCCCAGAGGGCTACTTTGGGAATGTCTACAGCACCCCGCTAGCTCTGCAGGTGGGCAAGGCCGTGCTCCAGCCACCTAGTGGCTGGTGGCAGTAGGTGGGGACCTGGCCCGTCCTTGCCACTGACCTTCCTCCCTCTCTCTGTTCTCTCACCAGTTGTTGATGACCTCCCCGATGCCTGGGGTTGAGTTGGGCGCAGCGTGCCTTAAGGCTAGGGCTGCTCTGGTAGCCAGCATTCAAGACGGAAACTTCGAGAACGTTCTCATGATTTCTCAGTTGCTGCCTGTCCTGAACAGCAGGAACTATGTGGATCTCCTCTCCCCAGACTGCTGGGCACCAAGAGGTAGCTGAGCCTTTGACAGAGCCTGGCCCCTTGCAGACTGCACGGCTCTCACTCATGGCTGTGTGGCCCAGTGAGGGCCGGTGGCGGGCCCTGATATGCTGAGTTCACCTGGGTTTGCGGGTATGCTGAGGACACTCTGGCCCCTGAGAGGAGGTGACAATTACTGGGAGCTCACAGGGAGATACAAATGGAGATCCCAAGCCTTGACTCTCCAGCCCTTTGTGGTGGTAGCACAGGATTGTTTGAACGGCCCGAGAGATGGAGAGAGACTGGAAACTGCGCTGTGTGTGCAGCGGCTGTGGGTTTGATTCCCACCACCACAGGGGTCAACAAACAGGGAGCTGGGATTATTCTCTGAGCACTCACTCCCAGGTGTGGCCCCAGACCTATTCTTTTTTTTTTTTAAATGGTCATTGCCACGGTCCTCCCGTTGTTCATCGATTTGCTCAAGTGGGCCCAGTAATGTCCCCCTTGTGACAATTGTTACTGTGTTTGGCATATCGAATACCTCACAGGGAGCTTTCCAGGCTTTGCCATGCAGGCGAGATACTCTCGGTAGCTTGCCGGGCTCTCCGAGAGGGGCGGAGGAATCGAACTCGGGTCGGCCATGTTGGCTGTGTGCAAGGCAAACGCCCTACCGCTGTGCTATCGCTCCAGCTCCCAAGCCCAGGCACTATATATATATGACCCCCTTAGCACCTTCAGGAGTGATCCTTAAGCATAGAGCAGGCATAAACCCAGAGCACAGCTGGTGTGGCCACAAAACTAACAGATTCCAATGGATGGATAAAAGAGATAAATGGGAAGAATGGGAGAGAAAAAGAAAAGAGAATGAGAGAGAGAAAGAACGAGAGGGGCTGGAGCGATAGTACAGTGATGTTCCTGTAGTACAGATGCTTCCTTTGCACGTGGCTGACCTGGGTTCAACTCCTGGCTTTCCATATGGTACACTGAGCACCCCTGGGAGTAATTCCTGAGTGCAGAGGCAAGAGTTACCCCTGAACATCGCTATGTGGCCCAAAAACAAACCAACAAAACCAACCAACCAACAAAAACAGAGAGAGGGAGGGAGAAAGAAAGACAGAAAGAGAAAAGGAAGGGGGGAAGAAGAGACAGGGAGAAAGAAAACGAAAGGAAAGGAAAGGAAGAAGGAAGAAAGAAGGAGGGAGGAAGGAAGGAGGGAAACATTTTGGTTATCTCTGATGCATCATGGTGAACCCAATTCACAGGTGAATCTCGGCTTCATCTGGGAGGAAGTCAGTGGGATTTTCCAGTGGAGAAGAGAGAAGGGAGGTCAGGGTGGAAAGGCAGGGAGGTCGTAAGAGACGGGAATGGGAGGGGGCAGGGTCTTATGGGAGCATAAAGGAGTCTGGTAGGCAGGAGATCTGAGCACAGGCTTTGCAGGCTGCAGGCCCGGGTCCACCCCCAGCACCACATAGTCCCTGAGCACAGAGCTCGAAGTAGTCCCGAATGCCACCATGGTCACCCAAAAACCAAGAGAACAAAACAAAAAAGAGAAAAGGGGAAGTGACTCTCAGAGGTAACATGGAAGAGTTGTAAGAGTAAAGGGATATTCCAGAAAAAGGCTTCTGCGACGCTAAGTGGCAGATGGGTGGAAGAGGGGATAGTGTCCAGGGAGAAAGGAGGACTGATGCCCACACCCTCTGCCCTCACACCCGTTGCTCCTGTCTCTCCAACACAGCCACACTGGAACCCGCCACAGAGACCCCTGCAGAGGGCCGTGTGCTCGGGGACATCCGGGTCATGCTGAGGGTTCGCAGCGTCGTGCCACCGTACAGCCACTTCATCCATGTCCCTGCTGGGGCCTCCTTGGAAGATGTTCTGAGGAAGGCACAGGAGCTTGGAGGATTCACGTGAGAACCCCCAACCCCCAACTGCCCGGTCCTCAGCCCACCTGGTCCCACATCCTTGAAACTAGGTCACATAAGAAACAGGGGAGGAGGGCTGGAGCGATAGCACAGTGGGTAGGGCGTTTGCCTTGGATGTGGCCAACCCAGGTTCAATTCCCAGCATCCCATATGATCCCCTGAGCACCACCAGGAGTAATTCCTGAGTGCAGAGCCAGAAGTAATCCCTGTGCATCACCGGGTGTGATGCAAGAGAGGAAAGAAAGAAAGAAAGAAAGAAAGAAAGAAAGAAAGAAAGAAAGAAAGAAAGAAAGAAAGAGGGAGGGGTGGAGGAGGATGTTCCCTTGGGAGACCCCCTCCCCCCATCATTCCTTACTCACCCCGCAGTCGGGAGCTGTGGGCAGCTGCGTCACATGTTCTGGGACTAGCACGCCACGGGGAGACCCTGCTCTGTGAATGGAAGTTCACATGCATCGAGAATGCGAGAATGTGATGTGGACTTTGTACACTGAAGGGCTGGCACTTAGGGAACCAGGTGGTGCTGGGGCTCAAACCCAGGACTCCTGCATGCCACACATTCACTCCTGTCCTCTGAGCCATCTGCCCAGCCCAAAAGGAGTCTTGGGGCTGGAGAAATAGTATAGTGGGTAAAGCACTTGTCTTGCCTACAGTCAACCCTGCTTCCACCCCCTAGCCTTCACACATGGTCCCCTATCAAGGTTACTCCTGAGAACCGAGCAAGGAATAGCCTCTGAGCACTGAGGGTTGTGCCACCCCCGCCCCGGAACTCTTATGAAATGATCAGGGTTTAATTCCAGTGATTAAACCCCCCTAGGCAAAGCCTAGGAGCTCGGACACCGTCCTTCACCTGTCTTCTCACCCTGAGCTTGGGCAAGTGTGGGGGCGGCCATTTCCAGATGGATGCTGTCAGATTATCTCGCTCCCTAGAGCAGAGGGGGTGGGGCTCATGTTGTCACTGGGGAATGTGACCCCGAGAAGCCAAGGGCCGTCCACCATGACGCCCCAACCCAGGCTTCTCTTGTAACAGGGCACACCTCGGTGTGAGAGCCCTGGTGTCTGTCCCCAGCTACCACTCTCAAGGGACAGCAGCCAGGGAGAGCTCCCCATCCCACTCGGGGGTCCTCTGAGCTGGCGACTGTCAGCCCAGAGCTATGCAAAGACCCGTTGAGAGGACGGGCTGGGACAGTCCCCGCTGGAAGGATTCTGTGCAGAGAGAACTTGGATGCTCGGTCCAGCTGACCATTTAGCCTCTTTCTAGCCTCTAATTCAGTGTGTTTCAAGGGTCGGGGGCACATATGGATATTCCAAGGGGACCACAGGTGAAAAGGGGCTGGGACTGTGACATGAGATTCAGGAGACAGTGGGTAGGAGGTGGTGGTGGGGGACCCACAGGAAGGAAACAGGTTGAAAAGCATCTACAGTAGAGAAAGGCAAAAGCTAAGAACTGGCCCTCTGGACAGTTATAAATTCTAAGTAACTCTGCCAAGGAAATCTTTTTTTGTCCCTTTAATTTGGGAGGGCGGGGCACGGAGCCTGTGCCCAGAGGTTTCCAGGGGCTATTCCTGACTGCTCAATAGTGACGCTGGCGGTGCCCAGGAGACCATGTCCACACAGAGTATGCTGGGGGTTCCAACCTGGGTCAGGCTGACGTGGCCACCTGCAGGGCTAGTGCCTTTGTTCTGTATCATTATCACTCTGGCACCAATTAAAATTTAAAATGCATAAAACCAGGTCAAGGAAATGGCTGAAAGGGCTGCTTTGCTCACGGGAGGCCTGGCCTGAGGTCCAGCACCACATGGTCCCCAAGCCCCACTGGGGATAGTGCCTGAGGAAGGCGAGGTCTGAATGACCCCTGAGTACCTCCTGGTGTGGCCCAACACAGAAAAACTAGAGCAAAACAAGCCACTTTATTAAACCAGCCACGCTGAAACTAGGGCCTTCCTGTTCAGATGAGAAGCAGGATGATGGCGGGCTTGGAGTGGGCAGCGCTCACTCAATGTTCACTGATTGAGTCCCCACCAGGCCTGAGTTTGCACAGGCCACTGCAGCCTCGCCTCTGTTCCCGACTACGTGCACCTCTTTTTCCTCCCTGGGTGCCTGCAGCGTTCAAGGCAGTATGGGGGAGGGGCAGGGAGGGGTGGGGGAGGGGGAGGCACACAGTCCCGATGGCCACACACCCCGGTCTCTTTGGTTACCCAGAATCTGCTGGTCTTCAGGTTATCGTGTGTCATCAAAATGGAGAATGTGAAAGTGGACGTCTTTGTTCAGAACGCCCCGACCTCTGACACTGACCTGAGAACAGAGACTCTTGGGAGTGGGTGCAGACGCCTGATCTGCCTCCGGGCCCAGCAGGAAGGCCACGTTCACAGCACAGGGATACACAGCAGAGGAAGTTAGACCAGAGAGAAAGAGGGAAGAACAGAAAGGGAGAGAGGGATGGGGTGGCGAGACAGTAGAGAGGTTAAGGTATTTGCCTTGCATCCTGCAGACCCCGGTTCTATCCCCAGCACCCTAGCAGAGGGTCCCTTGCGTACTGCCAGAGTGACTCCTGAGAACAGGCCTAGGAATAGCCCCTGTGAACTACTGGGTGTGACACCAACCTCCTCCCCAGCCCCGCCTCAAAAAAAAAAGATTGAAATGGAAGAAGAGAGGAGAAGAACTAAGGTGAAAGAGAAAGAAAAGTTGGGCCCAGCGTGATAGTACAAGAGTAGGGCGCTTTCCTTGCATGTGGCCAACCCAGATTCAATCCCTGGCATCCCCACACAGTTCCCTTAGTGATCCCTAAGGGTAAAGTCAGGAGTGAGCCCTTCTCACTGCCAGGGGTGACCCAAAAATCAAAGGCAAGGCAGGGGGAGGGAGGGTACGGAGGGAGAGAGAGAAAGAAAGAGGAGAGAAAAGGAGAATTTGACATGCCCAGGGAAGGGTTCCGAGCAGACACGTGGCCCCACAGTGCTAGGGAATGCGAAAAGACTGCTCCGTGGCCCACCCACTTTCCCTCTGAGTCTCCCGAGTATGGGCTTTCTACACTCCCTCCCTTTCTTTGGGGTACACACTATTTGTGCACCCACACACTTGACTTTGGTGCTTGTCTGAGCTCATCCTCTGGTTGGCAGTATTGGGGCCCCCACTGTCAGAGCTGGCAGTGTGGGACAGTACAGGACATCAAACACAAAGCCTCTGGCAGCTCCTGGGCTGTCCTGGGCTCCTGAGTGCACATCCTAGAAATAGTTTAGTTTAGTTTGTTTTGGGGGCCACACCCATGGTGCTCAGGGCTTACGCCCGGCTCTGCACTCAGGAATCACTCTGGCAGTGTGTAGGGGACCCTTTGGGTTGCCGGAGATAGAACCTGGGTTCATCATGTGCGAGGCAAGAGCCCCACCCGCTATACCACTACTCGGCCCCAATTGCTAGGAGTTTTTAAGACTGTAAAAACTATCCTTCTCTAAGACCCAAACACTTGTCAAGCCTTTTGGGGGCAAGGAGGACTCGACTCTGGTGTTTCAAGAGGATCCTTTAGCAGTGGCGGCCTGATGGAAGTATGTAAAGTGGGGGAGGAGGGAGGAGTCCCCAATGCTAGGCTCAGAACCCTAATCCTCTCTGGCGATGGGAAGCATGGCGAGTAGAATCAGAGAGAAGACTGAGCAAGCCAACACCCAAAAAGGAGAGCCACCAGGCCAAGGAGACAGCGGGAAGAGTTGAAGCACACTTGGCTTATATGAGATCAGGGTTCAATCCCCAGTACAGCCAGGAGTAACCCCTGAGCATGGCCACGTATAATTCCCACCTCTTCCCCCCCCCCAAAAAAAAAACCTCAAAAAATAAAACCAACCAAAACAATACCAAGAGAAAGGTATGCCACGGAGCCTTGGAACCTTTCGAATCTTGCCAGTACTCTGTCCCTGTGTGCAACGTGCCAGCTTCCCTCTGCCAGCAGATTTCACCCTCTCTCACTGGACAGGGATGAGGACAGCAGCTTCTCATCAGATGAGGCAGCTGGTACCTGAGTGGACAGTGTCCACTAGCATCAGGGGGCTGGAGAGAGCGTGGAGGTGGGGCCCAGGGGGAACCAGCTGGGTTGGGCGGGTGACTGCCTGGGGGGAGGGGGGACAGCAAGACTTTCCTGTGACCACTTCTGCCCTGGGGAGGATGGGAACAAGTCTTTTTTGGAGGGAAGGGTTCTATGGGAGCACACCAAATGGTACTCAGGGATGACTCCTGGCTCTGCACTCAGGGGACCAGCTGCAGCATCAGGGATCGCAGCAGGGTCAGCCTCATGCAAAACAAGCTCGTAATTTTCTGTACTACCTCTCCAGCCCCAATGTCACCTTTTCTCCCTCTTCACCTTCCCCCTGGCAGGTACAGAACCCAGGCCACCTTATCCGGCCCCTACCTGACGTCAGTGATGGGAAAGGAAGTTGGGGAGCATGAGTTCTGGCAGCTCCTTCGAGACCCTGACACGCCCCTGTTGCAAGGTGAGTGGGGTGGCCAGCCACCTCCAGGGGTGTCCCTGACCCCACCCTCAGAGCACAGCTCCCTGACTCCCCCCAGACTTTCCTGGTTCAGCCCCGGCCCTGGACAGTCCAGGGGGCTAGTAGTTGATTCTACTGATTTCTGAGAACCATGACGTGTATGACTATGGCAACTCTAGGACATCAGAGAGCAAGGAAAATTTGAGACTTTCCCCAGTTCACTGCCCAGAAATTTCTTCCTTTAATTCTTTTGTTTGTTTGTTTGTTTTATGGGTCACACCTGCAGATGCACAGGGGTTAATCCTGGCTCATGCACTCAGGAATTATTCCTGGCAGTGCTTGGGGGACCATGTGGGATGCTGGGAATCTAACCTGGGTTGGCTGCGTGCAAGGCAAACGCCCTCCCCGCTGTGCTATTACTCCAGCTCCCTTCCTTTAATTCTTGAGGTGTATTCTTCCAGGTAGTTCTTCATTTTGTTCTGTCCTGGTGGGGGGGGGGGGGGGATGGCGTACCTGGCATGGCTCAGGGACTTCTCCTTCACTCCCTCACTCATTGCTTGGGGATCGCTCCTGTCAGTGTTCAGGCAACCAAGCAGTGCCAGGGATCAAACCCAGACTTCCTGTGTGCAAATCTCCAGCCCATTGATCTGTCTCCCTGGATCCTAGACAATTTTTTTTCTTTACTTTGGTTTTTGGCCCCACCTAGTGGTGTTCAGGGCTTACTCAGGCTCTGTGCTCTGGGATCACTCGGGGAACCATATGTGGTGCAGAGGATCTAACCAGGGTCAGCTGCATGCAAGGCGAACACCTTATCTGCTATAATATCTCTTTTGCCCCCAGATAATTTTTTGAACATTCACATTTGTTTTTTCATTAAAATGAAATCATATTGGGGCTGGAGCAATAGCACAGTGGGTAGGGCGTTTGCCTTGCATGCGACCAACCTGGGTTCAATTCCCAGGATCCCATATGGTTCCCTGAGCACCGCCAGGGGTAATTCCTGAGTGCAGAGCCAGGAGTAACCCCTGTGCATCTCTGGGTGTGACCCAAAAAAGCAAAAAAAAAAAATTCAAAAGAAAGTTGTCCAATAGAAATAAAATCGAACCTGGGCTGGAGCCATAGTACAGCGGGTAAGGCACTTGCCGTGCATGTAGCTGACCCAGGTTCAATTTCTGGCATCCCATATGGTCCCCTGAGCACTACCAGGAGTGATCCCTGAGCACAGAGCCAGGAGTAAGCCCTAAGCGCCACTATCTATGACCACCCAACTGCCAAAAAAAAAGGGGGGGTTGACAGATGGAGCACCCCAGCTCTAGCCTTCATCACCCGAAAGGGCTGAACTGGACTAGGAGGTCTGAGAGGGCCGCTGAACCCCCTATGAGGCAGACAAGGATCATAAGTCCTCTCTGTATCTTGCCCCTCCCCCACCCATGACCTCTGTCCCAGTTCCCTGGGAGGAAGAGGAGGATCCAGCTGTTGACCTCAGTGTCACCCACGTTTCAGAAAAATGAGACCCTGCGGCCCTCACAGAGGGTACCGAACTGAGCCAAAGTCCCACCACTAGTGGACCACAGAGTGGGGCCCTTCACCCCACGTGTTGCTGAAGCCTTGCTCCTTCCTTGGAGTGAAGGGAACTTCGCTCGAGGCCCAGGCTCTCCCTCCACACCACTCCGGCAGGCCCCTTTCCGATGGCCCCTCGGGATCTCTGAGGACAAGGACCCTGCACTCAGGGTTCATCAGCACCCCTGGTTCCTTTCTCCCCCTGCAGCCCCTCCACCTGGCTATCCTCTACCCCGACTCTCTGTGGGATCCCCCCCCCACACACACACACTGCAAAATGAGCTGGTAATGGTGGGGCTAGGCCCTGGGGGGAGGAGGAGGAACTGGGGATTTGGAGCTGAGTTCGGTCTCCAGATAGCTGCCAGCTCCCTCCCGCCAGCATGTCTCACGGGCCCTGGCCTCCAGTGGCGTCCCAGGAGATGAGGCTGCCTTGTTCACTGCGCCCCACCATCCCCTGATGTTTCCGCAGGTATTGCTGAATACAGACCTGAGGATGGAGAAACCATCGAGCTGCGATTGGTCAGCTGGTAGCTGTAGACTCTGGGCTTCCACCTGACCCTGCCCACCACATGCTAGAAACCAATGACCCCTGGTAACCCCTGTCTGCATCCCCAGGAAGGTTCTAAGTCACTACTCAGCCGGGCGGGTGGTGCCAAGCAGAGTCCCCCAAGTGGCCCCTGAAGGTCACCCGCTGTCTGGAAGTCCCGAAATGTCAGAGACTGCTCAGCATAGGAGGGTCCCTTGGGCCGCTGGTGCAGTGGGACCCACCCCCTCCTCTCCGACTTGCTGCAGCACTGCTGGCAGGGAATCAGAGGTCAGCTCCTGAACAATCTATTAAAGCCTTGACCGTGCCCTGGCTGCTCCATCCTGAGGCCTTGGGCTGTGGGTGGGTATGACACTGGCGGTGGGTGCTGGCCCAAGGGATACTTCGTGGCACTGCTCAGAGATTGTCCTCACGGGAACGGGGCCCATCCAGTGGCTGGTGGCCCCTGTGGCTCTGACCATGACAGAGGGAGCCTGGAGCGGTCTCCTGCCTCCTCCATTCAAACACTAAAATCGGGGGTGCTGGTGATGAAAATGTTACATCACAGAACCAGAGAGCCGAGGGTCACAGGCCTGGGTTTGATCCTCGCATCGCATGGGCCGCCAGCACTTCTGGGAACGACCCCTGAGCACAAAGCCGGGGTAGCCCCTCAAGCCTCCTCAAAAATATTGCATGGCCGAAATCCCGAGCCTAAACTCCGCTGGGGGACCCTGGGCCCTGCCGCTCCGGCTCCGGGCCTCGGCTCTTCCCACATACACAGTCAGGACCGCCCTGACTCCCAGGGTCTACTCCCAAGGAGCTCGGGCTCTGGGCTGCCTGCAGGGAGTTGGGGATCGGGTCCGGAAAGCACCCCAACTGCCATCAGGGGCTCCCGCTGATGGGGAACACATTGGGTGGGATGCGGAAACCACAGATTAAAGGGGCCTCGGTATTAAAGTCCGAGCAGCTCCGGGAAGTGGCAACAAGCTGGCAAGCGACTGTTAGAGCTGTGTTCTAGGGGTACAGTGTGACTCTGCACAATAAGGCAATTGTTTCGTTTTGGGGCTACACCTGGTGGTTTGGGGGGCTACTCTCAGCTCAGTGCTGGGAGGGGGAGAAATTCTTCCCCATTCCTAGTAGTGATTGGGGAAATGGGATGCAGGGAAGTTAATGTAGGGAAAACTTGTGTTTCTGCCCTTGGAGCCATTTCCCTGCCCAAAGGCTTTTATTTTGGCGGTACTCGGGGTGTACTCCCAGCCCAGGGACCCCTTCCTGCCGGCTCCAGGACCATAGACAGTGCTGGGGATCAAACCCACACCACTGAGTGTGGCCCCCTCTAAAACCACACAGCCAGCTCCAAGTGTGAGAACCCAGCCAGGACGCTAGCAGTTCAAGCCCCCAGCCCCACTTCCTTACTCAGCCTGGAGTGGGGTCTCCTCGCACTGCCCACCTTAGAATTGGGGGAATCGCACATGGGCCAACCCTGAGAAGGGGTATAGGGAGAGGAAATTCACGTCCTATGCCATCCCTGCATACCCTCCCCACAGCTGTGCATGAACCTGGACTCTGCAAGCTGGGTTCACACTGCTGTACTCCTCCAAGGTCACAGAAGGGGAACCTGAGGCCACTGCTGCAAAGCACTGTGTCTAGTGAGGGTTATGCATCGAAAGGGGAGATGCGCCTTCACAGCCCACTTGCTGGAACTGGGCTCCTTTCCCCTACCGGTACCCCCACCCCGAGTTTCTCCCAGCCTTACCTGCTTCCTGGACATCACCTGCCCCAAGATCTGAGGGAATTAGGGATTCCGGGGGCAAAGGTAGGCTGCTCTGGGCTTTGGGATGTCCAGGCCCCCTGATGTGCCCATAAAGTGGGATTCCTGGGCTTCTTCTGGTCTATGGAGAACTTACTGCCTACAGGTGGAGGCAGATTAGAAATGGGGGCTCTGTATACCTGATCTGAATTCACTCACCTGCCCTCACCACCACAGAACCACCCCCCTCCAGGTCACCTTATCTCCTCCCAAGCTGAGCTGTTGCCATGTCCAGGAGCTGAGGTCCAGCTGCTGGCCTGGACCTCTCTGCTCCTGGCAGCTAATGGTGCTTTCTATGTCTTGGCTGGGTGTCCCTCTGGGATCACCCTTGGCACTCCACACTTCCCCTCACACACTCCCTGCCTTAGGCTTCCGTCCCAACTCCCACCCAGCCTATACCCTCATTCCTCATGCATGGGCAGGGCAAGTCTCTTGGGGAAGTCTTGGAGGAGGTGTAGACATTTTCATAGCCTGCCACTCCCAACCAACCCAGTTCAGGCATTGGTTTTGAATTGTTGATATCAGGACCAGAGTGATAATACAGCAGGTAGGTTCCTTGCCTTGCACACAGCTGACCCAGGTTCAATCCCTGGCACCCATACAGTCTGAGCTTTGGCAGGAGTGATCCCTGAGCACAGAGCCTGAGCACCAGAGTGTGGCCAAAAAAAACCAAAAACTTAGAAATTATTAATGGGGGTGGAGAGATACAGCAAATAAGGGAGCTTGCCATGCACTGGCCCACCCGGGTTCGATCCCTAGCACCCTATATGGTCCCCCAAATCCACCAGGAATAATTTCTGAGTGCCAAGTCAGAAATAATTCCTGAGCATCGCCCCCGCCGTAAATTACTGGGAATTGACAAAATGCAGCAAAGAATATAGTACTGGGGAGGCGGTGCTCCTGATTTCTCCTTTTCAGGAAATGTGAAGGTGATGGGATGCTGCTTTTCCGCGGGCCGTTTTGGTTCCCTGGCTCTTTTTAAAAAGAGCCAGGGGACCAAAAAAAGAAGCTGTCTAAAACGCTCTCCCAGTTGCCTTCAACTTTCCTGTCCTACAATTTGGCCTATGAAGGTGTGATCTGTGGGCGTTAGGATAACCAGAGGTCAAGGTCAAGATGCAGATTCCTGCACCAGAGTGCGCGTCTGAAGGATTCATCTGCTCTCTCCGACGCTGGGAAGTTTGATCAAACTGTGCACAGCGGTTGGGACGGGGGGCGTGGCCTGAAGGGGGCGGGGCGGGGAGAGGGCGGCGAGGGGGCGTGCTCCGCCGCCCCCTCCCCGCGCTGGCCACAACTTGCAGTAATTCTAAGATCTCGTCGCCAGAGGGCGCCACTGACCGGGCTAAGGGGCACTGCTTGTTTCTCCCAAGTTTGCTGTCATCAAGGGCAGACAGCAGGGGCGAACCGTGGCCCAGTGGGCAGGAGCTTCCGCCAGGAAGGAAGCCTGACATCAGGGAAGAGGCTGGCAAGCAGCACTGGGCACCTGCCTGGTCCTTGGACGCTTGAACCCCAGAACTGAGAGAGGCCAGGGCCTGCCTGGAATCCCGACCGAGCGGTCCTGCACTGGAGGCCGCTGTGTTTACGCAGCCGGGAGCGGGGAAAGCATCTGTGGCTCAGCGGGGAAAGCCAAGGCCTGGGCAGGGGCTCGGGGCGTAGCAAGCAGCCGCGCCTCCCGGCCCAGGGCCCTGTCAGTGGGTGGACCCCAGACGTCCAGCTTTGAGTCAGCTCTGGCTGCCCTGCGGACCCATCCGTCACAGGGGTGATGGCGAGGGAATGGAAGCTGGGTGACCGTGGTGATTCAGCGTCCCTCCCCTGGCCCTGAGAGTGGGGGTGGGGGCTCCGCCTTGGACTGGGAGCGGAAGGAGCCGCGGTGGTTTCGAAGAGGTCCTTACGGGACTCCTCTGTCCAACTCTCCTAGATCCCGAGGTCAAGAGGACACAAGTGTGGCCAGAAGCTGTTTCTGGGCCGGGAGGGGGGCTACGGAGGATGGACGCTTCTGTCTGGGATTTTTTAAAATTGGGCTCCGTGAGAAAACACACGTGCTTCTCCCACCCTGCGTGGATCTCTATGGGTCGGGGGTAGTTTTGGCTCTGGGAGAGGAAGGGGCCTGATCCCTACCGGTTAGGGGAGCGGCTCAGCCGGCCCGCCCGCGATGGTGAGGGGAGGACTCCGCGCACGGAGAGAGCGCGGGAGTGGAGAAGGGAGGGGCGGTGAGCGGGCAGCGAGGGGGCGTGGCGGGGGAGGTGCCGGGACGCGGCGGGATTGGGCGGGGCCTGATGGCGGGGCGTGGCCGGGTTCGAGGTGGTGCCGGGGAGTACGCAGGACGTGATTGTGGGGCGTCTGGGGGCGTGTCGGGGGCGGGGCTTGGTCAGAGGCGGCGCTGGGAAGCGGCAGGTGGCGGGCGGGGCCTTGTTATGGGGCGTGTCAGGGGCGGGAAGGGGGCGGGGCCGAGGCCGAGGCGGCGCCGGGGGCTGGGCCCCACTTTCCGGATGGGGCGCGGGCGGCGGCGGAGGCGGGGCCGGGAGCTCGGGGCCGCGCCCGCCGGGTCGCGCCGGGGCTGGAGCCGGGTGGGAGCCGCTGCTGGAGCGGCCGGGGGCGCCGGGAGCCCGAGCTGGAGCGCAGGCCCGAGCGGGACCGAGCGGAGCTCGGCGGCCGGAGCGCGGCTCGGCGTGTGGTTGTCAGGGCCCGGCTACGGTGGGAGGGTGCCGGCCGCGACCCCCGCAGACGTGCGCGCGGGAACCCCGATCGCCCCTGCGGGGCCTGGGCATAGCCTCAGCCCGCGCGGGGAGGGGTGGTCCCGGGATCTGGATGGACGAGGACGAGGAAGGAGGCTCCATCTCCGAGCTCAGCGTGAGCACGAGCCGGGAGACCAGTGGAGGCTGCACCTGGCGCCGGCCAGCGCTGTCCCGAGCGTCGTAGGCCGGACTCGGCACCGGCTTTGGCATCTCAGTCGCCGCGACCCGGAGCTTGGCCATACGTTCCTTCCGGGAGAGGAGGAACGGCATCTGGAGGAGGACCAGACACCTGAGCCGGCCCCGACGCGAGGCACTTTGGTGGCCCAAAGCTGATCCCTGGAGAGCCACCGGCCTTCTGACCTGTCCGCCCTGTACGGATGTGCCGCTGCCCGTTGGAGCACCATGACGGCGGGATGACCTCGCAGGAGGCAGTGGCAATGTCTGGCCGGGCTGGGGTGGCTGGGTCCCCGGAATGGCCCCCCAACGCCCCCCAGGCCCTTGGGTGGCCAGGCCGGGCCCGGGTGGCCGTCGCAGCCCTGGTGTGGCTGCTGGCAGGAGCCAGCATGTCAAGCCTCAACAAGTGGATTTTCACGGTGCACGGCTTCGGGCGGCCCTTGCTGTTGTCGGCGCTGCACATGCTGGCCGCGGCGCTGGCCTGCCACCGGAGGGCACGCCGCCCCATGCCCGGCCAGACGCGCCGTCAGGTACTGCTTCTCAGCCTCACCTTTGGCACGTCCATGGCCTGTGGCAACGTGGGCCTGAGCACCGTGCCCCTGGACCTGGCCCAGCTGGCCACCACGACCACCCCGCTCATCACGCTGGCCCTCTCGGCGCTGCTCCTGGGCCGCCGCCACCACCCGCTGCAGTTTGTGGCCATGGGCCCGCTCTGCCTGGGGGCCGCATGCAGCCTGGCCGGGGAGCTCCGGGCGCCCCCCGCGGGCTGCGGATTCCTGCTGGTGGCCACCTGCCTCCGGGGCCTCAAGTCCATTCAGCAGAGTGAGTGTGGGGGTCGCTGGCGGAGGAGGTGGGGGTCAGTGTGGGTGGTTTTGTGGCCTCCCACGGGTTGTATGCTGGCATGGCTGTTAGGCCATGGTACAGATTTTTTTTTTTAAAGCAAAAAGAACGAAGGCAGGAGGCTTTGGAAGACACAAAAAGTGAGGTGCAAGAAAGGCCCCCAACTCCATGAGTTTGGAGCCCCAGACTAGACTCTAGAGGCCCAGTGAGTTTTACTAGTGGCCATGAGCCACTTGTATTTCCCCTGGCCCTGACCCAGGAAGGAGCCACCTTTGGACAGGGAGCACAGCCCCCTTTGCTAGTGAGCCACAGAGACAAAATCCAAAGCCAGTTGTCAGGTTCCACACTGGGCCAGGGACATGGCTAAGAGAAGGAGCTGGAGGGTCTGATGGCCGGCCAGGAGAGAGGCAGGGCTTAGGCGGGTGTAGGGACTGGGGCAGGGCTGAATGTGGGTGAGGTTTCCTGGGCGCTCCTACCTCACAGACCCTCAGCTGGTTGTTGATGCTGAGTAGTCATGGGGACCTCCTGCATCCCCATTGTACAGATGATGCAACTGAGACTGGATGTTCCTGGTTTACCCAGGGACATTCTGCCCTTCAGGGCTCGAGCGCTGGTCCGTGGGCCTCCAGATCGAGGCTCTGTTGAAAGGGGGTGGCAGGGAAGGGTGGAGACTCTAGATTCAGAACTAACTGCGGGAGGGGCCGCCTTCATGCTCGTGACTAAGGATCGCCTGAGTTACCCCACCCTAGGGAGACGGCAGAGGCCAGTCCCACCACCTGCGCTGGGTCATCCCACCTCAGCGACCTTGGACAGGCCCTGGCTTTGGGGGCCTGAGGCTCCCCCTCAGTCTCGGGGTCCTCTTGCTCTTCTTCTAGCACAGAGTTCCTTTGATCCAGACCCAAGAGAGGGAATGGGGGCCGGAGAGGGGTGCTCCAGGGGCCTGAGCTGGGGTCAAGGGCCGCCTCCAGCTGGGCCCCGGGTTGAAGGCAGAAGTGGGCATCTTCAGAGCCAGGCCCCACCGGCCCGGTCTCCCTCCTCCCGGGCCCTGCGGCCGTGCCACAGCCTTGCTCTATTTTTGCCCTCTGGTTACATGAGCGCTGGGCACGGAGTTTGGGCATGAGTCGGCAGCGGGGAAACCTGAGCTAGGCTTCCCCGCCCCCTTTCCTGGCGGGGCTGGGAGGGCCCCGGCCTCAAGGCCCACACACCTGCGGAGAGGCCCAAGGCGCCTCAGCCACGAGCTTCCGCCTGCAGGACAGGCCGTGGACGTCCAGATCTCCTGGACACCGCGGAGCAGGTGGCAGCAAGGCCTCTGCTGCTCCCTCCTCCGCTCCCAACTGTCACCGGCCTGGTCTGGAGGCCGGGTACTGGCTCCAGGTTTCATGGAGCCCTTGGCCTACCCCCCTCATGTCTCCAGCTGCCCTGGATTCACGGCCACTTGTCAGCCTGTCAGCCTCCTCCCCAGACTGGAGCTCAGAGAGGGCATGGGCTGGTTTGGGCTTTCACCGTGTCCGCAGCACCTGTGACCCACAGCGTGATGGGGTGATGGATGACTCTGGCAGGTGGGGATAGGCTCCATGGACAAGCGTGTGAAGAAGGGTGCTGAGGAGGCTGGGTCCCCCATAATAACGGGCGGGAGCCCAGCAGGGAGAAAGAGGAGAGGGCAAGAGGAGATGTCTGCTTGCAGTGATCCAGGACAGGCACCTGTGCCAGATTCAGACTAGAGTTAGTGACTGCCTCCAACTTCCATCCTGACAGTATCCCTGACAGCTTCCATCCTGACAACCTCAGATGCTTTCCTCCGGCCCAGGGGGGGCTCCCTAGAGGTATGGGTGGTGCCACCTTCTATGCCCAGAATAAAGAGTTGCAGAAAAGACTTGCTGATCTTGTGCCCAGGCAGTGCCATGCGTCGGGGCACGGCCTGACCTGAGTCCGCTGCACTCAGGCTGGGCAGGACACATCCCAAGGTAGAGACCGCAGTTGCAGGGGAGCAGCCTCAGAGCTACCGTAGACACATCTGATGGGGCGCTTCCTTCTTCCCAGGTAGCACTCAGGAGGCTGCTGAGGGGAGGAAGCAGGCAGTGGCACGCATAATAATGTAGCACTGTCTTCCCGTTATTCACCGATTTGCTCGAGCGGGCACCAGTAACGTCTCCATCGTGAGACTTTTTGTTACTGTTTTTGGCATATCAAATATGCCACGGGGAGCTTGCCAGGCTCTGCCATGTAGGCGGGATACTCTCGGTAGCTTGCTGGGCTCTCTGAGAGGGATGGAGGAATCGAACCCAGGTCGGCCGCGTGCAAGGCAAACGCCCTACCCACTGTGCTATTGCTCCAGCTAGCTCTTTACAGAGCATAATAATAGAAATAATAATAGAAATAGTGGTGGGGCCGGGATGCGGCTCACTGGTAAAACAGGAGACTTGGGTTCAGCCCCCAGCACTGTGCCCCAAAGGAGTGGGAGAAAGTAGCAATCCCTTCACCCAGCTGGAGCAGAATAGGGTGTTCTGGGAAGAGGAAACTTTGGGGCACAAGGTGTCAGCCGCCAGGAGCTGTGTGTGTGGGGGAAAGGGTTCCCTGCGGCCACAGTGACCAGCCACTGCTAGACATGGGGCTTTGTGCTCAGCAACTCCTGTTCCCTCCCTGCGTTCCTCCACACAGACAGTAGGTGAAGGGCAGACATGCAGTAAGCCATGGCCGCGGGTCTGGGAACGGGTTTACCTCTGGTAGAAAGAAACCTGGGCAGGTTCAGACACTGAGACAAAAAACACCGGCGGAGGGTCGGAGAGGTACTGTGGGGAAGGCGCTTATTTGCTGGATCCCTGCATCTGGTTCCCTGCACACAGAGCCAGGAGGAAGCCCTGAGCACTGTCAGGGGTGACTCCCAACCCAAAGTGTTTCACACTAGAGGAAGGAGAGGTTGAAATGAGAGTGATGGGCTGGCCGGTAAAGGGTCCTGAGGAGGCCTGGCTGGCACTTGGCCTGGGTCCTGAGTGGCCGCTGCTGGGATGGGGGTCACAGATCAGTGGTCTGCCCCCAGTGAGAGGAGGCGGACGGCTGGGGGTGTCTAGAATAGGCTCCTGGGGCAGGTGGGCGGTTAGGGACTAACTACTGGGCCAGGTGACATTCACCTGAAGTTCCTACACTTCCCAGTGGCCCACAGTTCTCCTGGGCAGGGCGGACCACACACACAGAACTGGTAGTGCTGCTAAATTTGGAGCGGAGGAGCAAGAGGCATCCCAATTATCTGTTCATTTCTAGAAATGCTTGAGTTGGAGGGACTGTTGCCTAGAGAACAAAGCCAAAACATCAGAATGAAACGGAGAGAAATAAGATTTCCTATTCTAGGCTTAGCTTATGAGTAAGCGTCTGTGTGCGGCTTTGGAGAGCATGTGTCGGAAAATGCGGAGCGTCCTGGGAGGGGGCCCGGATCGATTACTCACTTCATGCCACTAGAACCTGGAGAAGAAGCCCCACACTCTGCGCGCACCCCTTGCCACTACTCAGGGCCTGAGCTCCAGTCTGCGATGATGGGCAACACCCCTTTGCAAACTAACCGGGGGTGGGATTGGGTGTCCACACCCAATCACGGGTCACGCAGAGGCAAAGTGGCAGGAGCTCCCCTTTCCTTGCGGAGCTGAAGGGTTTTCTCAGGCCTGGCTTCCTCTCTGCAGCTCTTGTGTTGATGGCAAAGATGCTGATAATGGATTATAAACAGTGGGTGACTGGCGAGCCAGACAATGGCTTTTTTGATCCCTTGTCCTCCCAAAGGTTATTTGTAAGTGAAGCAATGAATGGTCTCCTGTTTTGATTCAACTTATTTTAACCTGTGCGTGTGGGGGGGGGTGGTAGTGGTGGTGGTGTTGGGGGTCTGGGGGGGGGGTGCTGGGAATCTAATCCAGATCCTGACACCCGCAGGGCAAACACCCTACCACTGAGCTCCCTTGTTCCTCATCTTTTTCTTTTTTTTCCGCTTTGGGGCCCACCCAGAGGTGTTCAGGACTTACTCCTGGCTCTGTGCTCAGGGATCATTCATGGAGGGCTCAGAGGACCATATGGGTTGCCAGGATTGAGTCTGGGTCTGCTGCCTGCAAGGCAAATTGCGCCACCCACTGTACTACCTTTCCTGCCCCATCCCCCAATTCCTCCCTAGCCATTTTTTAAATGTCAAAGCCATAGAGCTGGGATATTCTGCAGGCCTCTGCAGGGTGGGTTCCCTGAGACGCAGTGAGGGGCTCAGGTCAAGAAAGGAAGGAGGCAGCAGGCCACAAAACCAGGAAGCTTTTTCTCTAGTGCCTGAGAGCCCCTGACGTTGGTTGGTTTGTTTATAAACCACATGTTATGTTTGTTGACCTTTGGATAGCTTCATAGATCATTGTTTCAGCCTGTGGGAAGTGGTTGGAATATAGCCCGTAAACCCGTGATGGGCACAGGTTATATTCCCTGGGCATTTGACTTCTTTTTGTTTTTTCTTTTTGGGTCCCACCCGGCGATGCACAGGAGTCATTCCTGGCTCATACTCATGAATTACTCCTGGCGGTGCTCGGGGGACCATATGGGATGCTGGGAATCGAACCTGGGTCAGCTGCGTGCAAGGCAAACATCCTACCCGCTGTGCTATCACTCCAGCCCCAGACACTTGACTTCTAAAGGTTTACTCTGCCTTGCAGGTAAAGTTACCTGGGCTCCCAGAGTGCCAGATCACAGGTCGGGTCACAGCTAAATGACAGGAGGACACAGGGCACCGGCCTTGTAGTCTGAGCCTGAATTCTGGACCATCACTCTCGCCCAGAGCAGGGAGCCCCTCCTGCTGCCCAAGGGGCTTGGACAGGCTTCTGGGAGTGGGGGCGGGTCGCAGGGTCACTTCCCGCCAAGAGCTCATGGCCACTGTCCTGGTTGCAGGTGCCCTGCTGCAGGAGGAGAGACTGGACGCGGTGACATTACTCTATGCCACCTCCCTGCCTAGCTTCTGCCTGCTGGCAGGTGCAGCCCTGGTGTTGGAGACGGGCGTGGCCGCCCCACCCGTACCCGCAGACTCCCGGCTCTGGGCCTGCATCCTGCTCAGCTGCCTCCTGTCCGTGCTCTACAACCTGGCCAGCTTCTCCCTGCTGGCCCTCACCTCCGCCCTCACCGTGCACGTCCTCGGCAATCTCACGGTTGTGGGCAACCTCGTCCTGTCCCGGTTCCTGTTTGGGAGCCGCCTGAGCACCCTCAGCTACGCGGGCATCGCCCTCACCCTCTCGGGAATGTTCCTCTATCACAACTGCGAGTTCGTGGCCTCCTGGGCTACCCGAAAGGGTTTGTGGCGGAGGGACGGGCCGGACAAAGGACTTTAAGATCTGGGAGAGCGCCTGGGCCAGCCCTGGTCGGAATCCGACCGTGGCGGGTGGCCAGGGGAAAAGGAGAGAGAAAAGGCAGTCGCTAGGCCAGGGCCAGCGGCCGGAAAAGACCCTCTAGAGGCTTCAACAGGGACCCCCAAAGGCCCATCTGTCCCTGCCTGTGGCTCCTTATCACGTGTCCCCCTCGCCACTGAATGGCGGGGCCACACCTGAACTCTGGAGGCACTGATGGGGACTGCATGGAGCTCGCGGGCCAGACGCTGCGAACCTGTGTTCTGATAACCTCGACTACGACGAAGACGCCGATGATGAGGAGTCTTGGCAGTTGCACAATCCTTCCTCTGGGAAGTGGGGGAGGCAGCTAGGGGGCCCAGGGAAGGGCTTCTTCGCAGCGGGGCATTCCCCACCTGGACTTTGGGGATTGTCTGTGCCAAATCCAGGCAGCTGCAGTGGCCTCACCCCTGGGACTTCCCCTTGATGGGTCTTCCATCCTCAAATAAACTATTTTTGCTTGTACACGAGTGTTGGTCCTTGAGGTTGCAGCCAAGGAAATCGAGAGAACGGGGTGAGGCCCTCCCTGGCCATCAGCCACCCCAGGAGGTGGGACAGTCTCCCTTCCAAGACTCGGCCAGGCCCCAACCTAAGCTCTGTTCCCCAAAGTCCCTCCATTGTCCAGGCCATCATTTTCCACCAGCTGGACGGCAGCTGGGCCTTCCTCCTGGCTCTCCTTCTCCTCCATGACAGCTTCTGCACAGGCCCAGGAGGATCTTTCTGAAATAAACTCCTGTAGGGCCCCACTGCTCTGGTGCAAAACCAGGACACTTGCTCCTGTCTAGGGACAGAGCACAAAGCGGGTGCCTGGATTCTTGTTTCTAGAGGCCCCGAGTTTGATTCTTGGACACACACACAGGCGCACGCACGCGCAAGCGCGCACACACACACACATGCACACATGCACGTACAAATGTACACATGCGTGCGCACTTTTTGCTCCAGACCTCCAGATCCTCAGGACCTGGCCCTGTGGCTTCATCAGGCTTCTGTCTCATTTCTCCCTTGGGTTCCACCTTCCAGCCTCCTCTGCCTCCTCAGGGCCCCCAGGTCCATACAATGGACCCACTATACGTGCTATCCTGTCCAGTCTCTTCCTATGGGACCTTGTTCCTTTTTTATGACTAAAACCTGCCACGGAAGAGAAACACCAACATGTAAGTCTCCAAAGGAAAATCAAATAGGGAACTGGATAGCAAGTTTAGTGGGTAGGGCACTTGCCTTGCTTGTGGCTGTCCCTGGTTCAATCCCTGGCACACCATATGGTCCCCTGAGCCCACCAAGAGTGATCCCTGAGCACAAAGTCAGGTGCAAGCCCTGAGTGTTGCTGGGTGTGACCCTAAAACAAAATGAAAAGGGGCCGGGGGAGATAGATCACAGGGCACGAGCATAGCACTGCACTGTGGCACTGTCCTCCCGTTCCCAATTTGCTCAAGTGGGCCCAGTAACGTCTCCACTGTGAGACTTGTTGCTGTGTTTGGCATATCGAATACGCCACAGGGAGCTTTGCCAGGCTCTGCCATGTGGGCAAGATACTCTCGGTAGCTTGCCGGGCTCTCTGAGAGGGGCAGAGGAATTGAACCCGGGTCGGCTGGGCCAGCCGCATGCAAGGCAAATGCCCTACCACTGTGCTACTGCTCCGGCCCAGGGCAAGAGCATATACTGTATAATGGGAGGCACTGAATAGTCCCACCAAAGCACCATCGGAGGGACCCCCTTGACACCAGTTGCTCTTGAATGCTCACCCCACTCCTTTTTGATGGTAGTGGGCAGGACTTGGGGGTCACAGTGATGCTCATGGCTTACTCCTGGCTCTGTCCTCACTCTTGGAGGACCATATGTAGAGCTGGGGATCAAACCTGGGTCAGCCACGTGTAAGACAAGTCATTGTATTGCCTCTCCAGCCCCTTAAAAACTTTCAGAGGGCCAAGGATAGTATGAGGTAAGGAGCTTGTCTTGCACCCAGATGACCTGGGTTTGATCCCTATTACCTTACACGGCACCCTGAGTTTGCCAAGAGTGATCCCTGAGCACAGAGTCAGGAGGAAACCCAGAGCACAGTTGGGTGTGGTCCTAAAGTAATATTTTTTAAAAAATTTTAAAATTAAAAGAAAATTCATGAACCAGGAATGTGTCTCAGCAGTAGCACACATGCCTTGCATGTGTCGAGCCTGGATTTGATCTCCAATCCGAAACAAAATAATGGAAAGGAAAAGAAGAATGCCTGGTGAGAGGGTATCTCTAGGGCTGTGGTTCGGGGGCAAGGACTTGGGTGGCCTCATGGAGGAAACGTCACCCCGCAGGACGGGTCCTGTGGGTGGACAGTGCAGGGAAGCAGGGCTATGATGCGGTGAACCCCCAGAGCCGGCCACAAGCCTCCCTGAGCTCTGGGCCCAACTCAGTTCCCTCTGCTCTCTTCTCTTGGGCTTTCCTGGCTCTGGCCACAGCTCCTGGCATGGGCTGCTGCCTCTGAGGCCACCTGGCAAGATGATGAGGCCCGAGTATCATTTGAACCGTGACAAGTCTGGATAAGGGAGGGCCAGGAGATAGTACAGCAGTTAGGGCATGCACCTGAGCAGGTTCCATTCCCACCACCACATGGTCCCCCACACATTGCCGGGGGCAGCCATGGAGGCCCCCCAGCACTCGGGGTGGGGAGAGGGTTTTTCATATCCCAGGCACTGCAGGGCCTGAGCTGCATGGCATCCTCAGGTCCTTGCACTGAGCAAACAGCCTGGTGAGCAGGGAAACAGCAGTGGGGGCCCCCGACACCTTGGGCATTGCTTGGGATCCCACCACATACACATACATGCACGCGCGCGCGCGCGCACACACACACACACACACACACATATACACACACACCTGTTTGAGGGAGACCTGAAATCTACCCAACTCATTGTGTACCTTGGACCAGTAACTTCCCTTTTCTGAGCCTATTTTCATACCTGTGAAATGGAGTTAATAACTGTTGGGGGTGGGGTGGAAGGGTAGGATGGGAGTGAGGAGCTGGAATCAGTGCTAGTGGCTGGGTCCCTCTCTGTAGTTAGTCATCACTTTCCCTGGGGGTGGTCTCCCTTTTCTTCGAGGAGGGAAGCTAGACCAGGCTGGGGTCGAGGAAGGCCTGGCCCAGGGAGAAATGGTTGATTTATTCCTTCATGGAACCAGGAATCCTGGTGGACTCTGCCAGGCAGTGTCAGGCTAGGCTGTGGGAAGGCTTAACTCCAAGTTGGGGGGATGGGAGGGTCAGGGAGAGCTGTTCCAGGGGGAACAGGCACACATTTCCTGAACCCTGCCTCCGCCTAGGCTGGCCTTTTCAAGGGAAGTGGGCCCAGGCTGAGTCACCCGCTACCACCCATCTGTGACTCAGAGATGTCCTGGCGCAGGCCCATCTCTGTGGTGTGGGTACCTCTGACTGTCCCCTGATGCTTGGCCAGGCAGGGTAGCTATGGATTTGGGTGGGCACTTCTTCTTGGTCACTGAGGCTCCTTCCCCAGTCCAGGGGCCTCCCGGCCACATCCTAAGCCTTGGCTTAGGCTAGCAGAAGGGGGAAGTGGAGTCACAGGGGCCACATGGATCATCTCCCATTGAGGGGATTGTCTCAAAGTCACAGTTAAAGCCTTCCTGCATCCTGCATCTTCTGCCTGGCTGACCTCGAGTGGGAGAGTCTGGGTGTTTGTTCCCTGATCTGAGTCCCTGGGAGCAGGGAGGGACTGGGGAGATGGCCCAGAGGGCTGGGGTGCATTGGTACCACCTGGTTCTCTACCAAGTGATTCACCCCCCCAACTCTCAGCACTGCAGTGGGACTTAGTTCCTCCTGCACATGGGCACTGCCAGGTGTGGCCCCAAACAGAACCAAATAGCAAAGGAAAGGCAGCACAGGGCCTGAGGTGCTGACCAAGCACAAGGCTGACCCCATTTTCATATACAGGCACCTATAGGATTCTGGAGTTCCCTGAGCACAGAGCCAGGACTAAGCCGGGAGCACCACGGGGTGTGGCCCATCCTCTCCCAAAATAGGAACAAAAACAAATAAAAAGCACTCAGAAGAGTCAGAGAGAGCTGACAGGGTGGAGTGTATGACTGGGTTCACACCCTGGCATTCCAAGGTCCCCTGAGTGCCACTAGGATTAACCCGCAAGCACAGAGACAGGAGTAACTCCATAGCATCTGGAGGCAAAAAAAAAAAAATTTTTTTTTGGCTACATGTGGCAATGCTGAGAGCTTACTCCTGTCTCTGGTCACAGGAATCACTACTGGTGAGGCTTGGGGGGCCAAGTGTGATGCTGGGAATTGAACCCCAATCAGCTGCGTGGAAGGCAGTGACCTTACCTTTATGCTTTATCTCTAGCCTGTCCCCACCTCTCTAATTATTTATTTACTTATTTTCTTTTTAGGTCACACCTGGCAATGCACAGGGGTTACTCTTGGCTCATGCACTCAGGAATTACTCCTGGCCGTGCTCGGGGGACCATATGGGATGCTGGGAATCGAACCCAAGGTTGGCCACGTGCAAGGCAAACGCCCTCCCCGCTGTGCTATGGCTCCAGCCCCCCCCGCTTCCATTTTTTTAAATGGTTCTTCCAGGTCCTGCCCCTGCAGCAGAGGCCAAATCACTTCATCCCTCCAAGCCTATTTGCATCCATCCCACCACTGGAAAGCCTTATCTCCAGGATACAAATGTCCCCTTCCTGAACTCTCCACAACCCAAACTCTGCCCCACATCGGCTGAGTGCAGAGCTAAAGGTCACACCAGTTCTCCACACTTCCCCAGGCAGAGGCCTGGCCATGTACCCTGGAACTGGCCACAGCCTCTTCTGGAAACTGGCTCAGGATGGGCGGGGCTGACTGACAGCTCCCTCTGGGTCCCCCAGCATGGGCCCCGCGCCTGGTACCACTGAGAAGGAAAGAGCCTCAGTAGAGAGCAGGGCTCAGAGGCCAGACCCAGGTTCTAATCCTAGTTCAGGCACGCTCAGGCCCTGTGTCTCTGGGTGTGAAGTGGAAACAGCAGTAGAACCTACCAGCCAGCTTCAGAGGCTGTGGGGCCAATGAGATGAAGGCTTAGCAATAGGACCCAGGAGACCCAGTGGGCAGGGCTAGAGAGACAGCACAGGCCTTGCAGGTAGAAGATGATTCCCAAACCGCCTATGGTCTTCTGAGCACCACCGTTGAGTACCGCTGGGTGTGGTGCCCATAGCCCCCAAACAAAAAGATGGAGTGGGTCCCAAGAAATTAAAGGCCTCTCCCAGACCTCCCAGAAGGCATCTCTCTCTCTCTCTCTCTCTCTCTCTCTCTCTCTCTCTCTCTCTCTCTCTCTCTCTCTCTCTCCTCCCTCTCCTCTGTCTCTGTCTCTCTTCCTCCCTCCCTCCCTCCCTCCGCCCCACCAGGGCATGCTCCCCACCCCTGCCCTGGAGGAAGCCAAGACTGTGCCAGGCATTCTGGCATTCTGCCATAGTGGACTCTGA